CACACTGCAGGTCCACACACTCCTCAGCGAGGCTCCGCCGCCCTCCTGCCGATAGTTCACGAGCGTCAAGCTCCCCCCCCCCCCCGTTGATAATTCTCGATCGTTGGCACGCTGATTTTTTTTTTTTTTTAATGTCACTTCATATCAAAAAGGTTGCCGACCCCTGCCTTAGAGTCTCACTGGAGGACAAATTAATGCCATCCATAGTTAGTATATCTTTAGATAATTTGTTTCGTAGATTCTTTGGGCCGTTTACAATAACTTCAGTTTTGGCCGTGTTTAACATCAAACAATTTAAGGTCATCCACGTTTTTAAGTCCTTGAGGCAGTCTTGAATTTTATTTAGATTGATAAGATAGATGATATTTGGTTATGCATACGTTATTCTTGTGTTTCCTCCCTATTTTACTCTACAAGGTTGCTTCTGCTTTCAGAAAGCTAATTTATAGTCAATCTGAAGATTTGGAGGAAGGTCTGCATTTCAAATATTGTGCAAGAGAAGAAATGGTTTACCTCTGTCGATATGGAAAGTATTGCATTGACTGTTACATAGAGCCGTGGAGGTCTGTTGTCAAGGTTGAATCGAGGAACATGATCAGGCCCCGCCGAAATCTCCAGTTACAGATTGTCTGGAATTGATTAGGAGTCCTGGTTCTTTTTTGGCAGACTTACTTCAATTGGATCCATTTACTTGTTAAGGACCACAAAGGTTAGTGGTAACACTGAAAGAAGAAGTAAAACGGTGATTTCTCTACTTTTCACCTTTTTTTAATTCTTCTTTTGTTGACATCTCTGAAGCAGGAACTCGTATTAGGCGCAGTTTCCGGGATTTCTGTGTTTATTTTCGGTGGTGTTATGACGATTGGACACAACATGTCTATTTTTGAAAGACTCCCAATTTCCAAGTCATTAGTCCTCTACCCAGAAGCCGTGTTGCACCCAAGCGTGGACTCAAATGAATTTGATGGCTGTTTTTAATGAGGACATTTTTACGGCTGTTGGCCATCATGGTTTCACATTTTTAGCTCGCCCTTTTTGCCTACAGCTTAGGACACAAAAGTAGACCAGAAGCTGGCGTAATTGAGTTATTTTACACAATAAAGGCTTATGTAAAATGTACGGTAGGCAGTGGAAATGAATTTCATTCTGCATTTTGTAATTGCACGCACACGCATCCTTTTGTCTAGACTTTTTTTCTGTGTGTTTCCAATTTGGCTTTGTTTTCCTTGTTTGATTTACAGGGTTTATTTCCATAGTTGTTCCCTTGGTGGCGAGACCCTTCTATGACCTCGAACACACACTTGTCCTTTGACATTTTGAATAAATGCTGCAGACACACACATGATCTTTTGGACCATTTCCCTCAATATTGCATTTGTACACAAATGCTCTTTGGTAGTTGGAATCAGTGTCCTGTGTGTTTGGATCTAACACTGAAGATCTTTCCACCTCACAATTGAGTCATTAAAAGACCACACGATCATTTTGGTTTCCCTGAAAAATCAATTTTACCCCAAGCCGAAGGCGAGGTTGCTCCAAATGGCTCGGAGTCTCCCAAACACTATCATATGTTAGTGTTTAACAGTGCACTCTTTTCAGGCCAGCCGTGTTAAGAAGGGAGCTTTTGAGAAGGATCCCCCATCCTCTCCTCTAATGCAGTTAGACCCCAATGTCTGACCCCCTCTCTCCAAGTGTGAGGTATCGAGATCCAAAGGAGTCCTCTAGCCTTAAGTCGAAAGCTCAGGAGCCAGAGTCAGTAAGGGGTCGAAATGAAAGTGATCCTCTTTCCCTCAAGGAATAGAATCATGGCTGTGTAAAATAAAACCAGTCATGGTCTGCTTGGTTTAAGGGCCAAAGGATGTCAATAGTAGCAGTTGTATTGGTCCGATCCATTCCCAGCTCCCACTCATATCTCCCTCTTTTTCTTTTCTTCCCTTCACCCATAAGTTTTAGGGAGCTGCTATACACCTTTTTAGGGAGACGGTGAGATAAAGTAACCCTTCTCTGATATACAAATGTCCTTCCTGGGAGGAAAACATTGCCAGACTTTGGTTTATAAATTAGATTAAACTTCTTCGGCTGATACAGGCCACGGCCCTGGGCCTTTTGGGGCACCCAGTGTTCCTGTGTTATGGCGCACAGATCACGTTTAGCGGGGTTAGGGGTTAGCTCAACTCCCCGGCAAGGAAACCAGATCATGTTTGTTTTGATCATCATATTTGACCTGGACTTGACTGACATGTGCCCCCACTTTACTGAATTGCCAAACAAACCACCCAGTACCCCTGCGCAGCAATCACTTAATCACACGGGTAACATGGGAACCAATAACACATCTTATTCAAGTTTGCCTAAGATTACTTGATTGTTAGATAAATAAGTGAATATCAGTGAATATGTCAGAATGGTGCTCTTAACAGGTGGTATTCACTGTTATAGAGCATTATTCAGAGGTGGGCAAATAAATATATATTGTGATGCTCATAATTGAAATAAATATATGTATAATTTAAAGAGAAAACTGCTTATTTAGTCTCTTTAAAAAGTCCCACTTCATGTTACTATGCCATTTATGAATTTGACATTTTATCTAAACGGAAATTCTAATAGACTTTCTCTGTGAACACTGACATGGGTTAGCCATCACAAAACTAAACCTGCTTTATTAGACAGCTGACACTTTCCCAAACTTGTTAGGTTCCAATTATGGTCCATATGAGCAATTTGATTGTCAAACATCATCTTCTCCAGTTTTGATGCCCTGAGGTGTATTTAGCTGGCCATCAGAGCTATGTTAGTAGATTGTTGGTGTGAGTGACAGGTTCATCAGCCTCTGTGTTTCCCTTTCCCCTCCTCTGGGCTGCTGAGATGCTCATGAATCATCTCACAACTGCTGTTTTTCCATCTCATTATCCAGCCTGCATCACTTACGCTGTGGTGAAAGTGTTGAGAGATATGCACCGTCACTCTGAGACCAGGCCTTATTTTTCTCATTATGCTGAAGTAATGCTCTAACTTTTTGTTTGTGCTTTTAATGCCCCATCCAGACTCTGACATCATTTCCCTTCCCCTTCTTTATGTGGTTTAGCCACCATTTAACCAACATTCATGGGTAAGAAAGTAGTAGTATTTTTGAGGTAAGAAAAACATCCCAAATGCTACTTTCCACCAACAGAAGGTCCTATAAAGTCCTACTCTGAGAGTCAAAGTTAAAGTGTGTGTGTGAAAAAGAAAAGAAAAGTGATGAATGGAGCAGGAAGTGATAATTAGCAGAGTAAACAGTTTTTTTATAAAGTCCTTATAACCCTTATTATTTTTGTACAAACACACACAGGCTACACACAATGTCAAATTTGTATTTCATTAAGTTCGTACGTTTTTTTTTCAGCAGTGGGAGGGGTCTTGTTTTTTTAGATGAGAGGTAGGGGTCCCTTTAGTAATTGTGGGCAGTGCACATAAGGGTTGAGGATATTTATTGGGGCTCTTATATGAAATGCAGTAGGCGTGGAGGGTGGTGGGGGTCAGGCAGGAGGAATGGGGGCAGGAAATGCTTGGGGAAGGGGGTCTAGGGGGGGGGTCTAGTTATTTTGAAAGCCACAAGGGAAGCCAGCTGCACTGGGGAAAGCATTGGATCAAAGAATGCCAGCCACCCTCATACCCCTCCCCCCTTTCTGCTGCGACACATCCAAGTCTAGCTGTATCAAAGAGGGGACCGGTCTCCAACCTGGCTTTCATTTCGAGGGACAGTCCCCGTTTGACCAGCATGTCATGACAGGCTTTAATGCCAGGTGGGGAAAGAGTGTGTCCAGGACAATGGCTCAATAATAAGAATAAGAAAAGTAGCCACGGGTGCTCACAACATGGGGTCGTCCCAGCACCTCTAATTGACTTATTCCTACAAGTCTGTAAATCAAGTGTCCATTAGTAGACGACCATTAGAAGTGTTTTTCGGCTGCGTTTAATTCTGTACACCTTTTTGCCCCAACACAATACGTCGGCAATTTATTAGCAATGTCAAGGGGAAATAATGTCACTTGGCACCTAATGGGAAACATCCATCATATGTAGTGTGGTGTTGACTGAGAGTTATTTGTTGCTACTACATATTTCATATATACATCAACACTGGCAGGCCAGTTTAATTAAAGTGTCTGTTTGCAAATGACTTCTCTTACTGAGGTATTTGTAACAGCTGCAGTTATTGTCTTTGATTTTAATAAAAGCCCTGTGCAGATTAAATACATATTTTGATAAAGACAGATGTGCTTTAGTAATAATGAGAGTAGTACTTTCAGGTTGTTTGGTTAAACTATGAAATGGCATTCTTTAGACATGTCATTTGAGCAAGAAAATGTTACAATATATGTATAAGGCAAAAGTAGCTCCCTCAAAAGATAACAGGGGTGAATTCATTTCTTTTTTGATGTGTTAGAATATGGTAATATGAATCTCATTCAGCCAGTGCTAATGATTTAGTCCTTAGCCATGGCCAAAATTATTGCGTCTTCTCTTCATTTTCTGGGACAATCTGTCCAACACGGAGACAGGCCCTCCTACCCTTTCTGTTGGCTTGTGCTGCATTCAGGACAACTCGGAACTCGATTATTTTCAACCTTCTAGCAGAAAAAGTACAATGAAACGCTGAAAGTTCACCTTCCTAAATTCAGATAAAATCAATCTACCCCAACTTCATGAAGTAGTAGTAGTCTGAAATCACACAACATTGGACGCCCACGTTTTTAATGGTAAACCATCAACTGAAAGACAATGTACAAGATATTTTCCTGTATTGAAAAAATCAATAACATGGTAAAACCTGATCCTTCAAAAAGGAGAGGCTGCTTTGGTAAGAGTTTAATTGAGAGTACACTTGCAAAAGAAACATCCATTCGGAGCCATGTTTTTGTTTGATGTGGTGTACCTGGAATGCTTGAAGGTCGGAGATTTGATTGAAGGTCAGAAACTGGCTACTTCAACTAGGAAAGTCAAACTTTGACTCAAACAAAGTATCATAGATGGGTTCTGGTCTCATGTATCTCTATTTCTTCAACAGCATGCTGGCAGATAAACTGAACATGACGCCCGAGGACGCTGAGAGATGGATCGTCAATCTTATCCGCAACGCCAGGCTGGATGCGAAGATAGACTCCAAACTGGTGAGACCTCCAGTCTTCTTCCTCAATTAGCAGGCTCAGCACTTATCTAATTAATCAAAGCTTTTTAAATGTCCCTCTGCAACCCGGGGGTGGTACTGACAGTCAAATAGCTTTTTAGATGCTCCTCATGTGTGACTTCAGAGGCATAGGAGGCATTATTTATGTCCGGATTTTGTAATTGAAGGGTAAGGACATTGTAACCATAATATATCACCCTTGCTAGGTCCTTTTTGTGAGGCTCCTTGTTGAACCAACATGCTTTGGACTCCACATCACAACAGTTCTCTGTAATCAGCAAAATCATAGCCCAGTCCTCCAGAATGACATAGAATTAGAGTAGAGTCGATGTGAACAGGACCACTGGTTGGTGTTTGTAGGATGGCGTGTCTGTCAGACCAAATGTCATTGGCTTTTTTATCGTTTTTGTGAAACCATTGTGCACTTTTTGTCTGTTTTTTCTAGGGCCATGTGGTCATGGGGAACAACGCCATCTCACCTTACCAGCAGGTGATTGAGAAGACCAAGAGCCTCTCGTTCCGCAGCCAAATGTTGGCCGTGAACATTGAGAAAAAGCAGGCCCAGAGCACCAAGACCGAGGTGAGTAACGCACACACTGTAAACAAAAAAATTGCACACCCTTCACAGGCTGTTGCTGAAGGCAACCATCCCTCCCTTTTTTAAACCGATCAGATTGCCGAGAAGGTCAACACGAACTCAGGGGCAGATCAAAGCGTTTGAAATGATCAGCTCGAAAGAACAAGGCCAAAGAATGTTGATGAACAACCATCAACAAAAGCTCTCTTTACACGAAATAAGCCAGTAAGAGCAAGTTTAACAGAGCTGACGCTTTCATCCTTCTCCATTGCTCTTCAAAGGCCTAATGACAAGGTAGAATCCAAACAACCATAAAACGATGCCTGGGCTCTGTGACTCAGCTCAGCAGCGTAAATAAGGTGGACCCTCACACAGGCTTTTGGTGAACATTACTTAAAGCCTGGAGTTCCCTGCACTTAGGACCTGCTGCAGATGTCTGGCTCAGGGTCCAGTCATTCCACTTAAGTGTGTATTTGATGTTGACCTTGTGTGTTTTAGTGGTATGTAGGACTGTTCAAGCACTCCCAACTACACAGTGTCATAATCACGCACATACTCTGAATGGTGAGCCGTTGCCTCCCCACTCCTTGAAGACACGCACGTCTGTCACATCAGATTGATGGGCCCGACACCTGACAGCACCAAGGCCACAGAGTTACAACAGACATGTTAAATGTTTACTTTTTAACTCTCGAGTGGCTGTCTTTTGATGTGCTCAATTACCCCTAACCCTATTGTTTGAATATCTGCTGCGGGAGTGCTTCCATAACCATTTCCCGTTAAAAAAATAAAAAGACCCCCCTCATTAAGGAGTTTTTGTAATTAGACAAAAGAGTCTGCAAACGGCTCACAGACCACCATTACATCCTGCTGTCCTCAAGGCTACAAATCACTTACATATAGAGAGCATTTACTGCCTACCATCTGGGGCGGCTGCTTAGGGTCCCTGTCAACTCTCGCAGAGAAAAACGTCAGCACTTAATTTCTTGCACATGTATGATACTTTTTCACATTTCCCACAAACAACATTTGTTTTGATCGCTATCCGTCATCTTCTAATTTTCCTCTTTCTTTTGTTGCAGACACCCAACTGGGCAGGTACCGAAACTGGATTTTAAGCGACACGGTGAAGATGGATCCATCCTGTTTTACATTGGAACTTTTTCCAATCTTTGTATCTCATGAAGCACAGTGCTGACTTGTTTAAGTCATCACCAATTCAATAAAAGTGACCAACATAACCATTTTCACCCATGATTGCCTTATTTCTGGACATTACAAGCGGCGGTTTGAGGTCTGAGTGGTCAGACCTTTTTCTATCTGTAATACTTGATGAAGTTTTAATGTGCGCATTGAGTCACCGACTAGGACAGTTAAGACTGCTGTGTGCGATGCGGCTCATGTGTGCGCAGTAATGATGAATGGCTGTTTAGTCTGTTGGTTTTATGGTGTTTTTAGTGGTTCCCTTCAGCGTGGCGGGCAGTCTCTCTGAGTGGGACGTCAGCTGGATGGGGGCAAGCAGAGGTGATGTACAGTTAGCAGCGGTCACACACTCTGCCAGTCATTCTGCCCATCTGAGGACTTGAGAGAGCCATAAAGAACCATTAGCCAGACGGACACAATCTTTTTAATGTCCCGCCCCGCCCCCGCTCTTCCTTGCCTTCGACCTTCTCATAACTCAGTCCTCCGCCTCTCCGTTCCTCCTTCTTTATCACAATTGCTCACAAACATGCTTTCATTCCTTCACATGTCTTTAATTTACCTCTACTTAGGGTATCATTTTCATACTAAACAAGGATTTTATGTAGAAATGCACCTGCTTTATTAGGCGAAGTCTGAAAGTGGAATGTGTCATCTCTACATGAAATGACTCTTTAACAAGGAATATGTTTTTCAGAAAAGAAGAAAAAAGGACAGGTTTTCAGCCCTACCACTTGAATCATTGCCATAGAGAAAGTTCCAAACTGTGGACCATAAATGTCTTTTTAAGAGGGAATGAGGCTCCACTGCTTAACATCAGTCAACACTGAAACATGCAGGTGGTTTACGCACCTTGTCCCGATCCACGAGACCAAAAGCATGAAGCTCCAGTCATTCAGCACCACTCTGTTTTCCTTTCCATTGGCTTTGTTTTGACCTATAATAAGTCCCGGCCACCAACCGCAGTGCTTCAAGGTGGTAACTGCAACGTGTCTGAATGGTGGAGCACACTAAATGTTTTTTTAGAAGTAAAACATTTTAAAAAAGGGAATCCGATTGGCATATTGGCTTAATACCCAGGAAAACTGGTTAAGGATCTTACACTTGTCGGTATCATTGCTGGGATGCCTCGTTAGCCAAGGAGGTAATGTTTTTGGCTCTTGTTTTGTCAAAAGGTTTACGGAAAAACAAAAAGCCCAACTTGGTTGAAGGGATTTGGAGAGACCTAAATCGAAAGATCTAAATCACTAAATGTCACTTTCATTGACATTGCAAAAGGACATTTTGGCTGCATTCTTGTGGTGTTGGAATAACCTGTCAAAATGTCATTCATAGCATACAATATCAACATATAATATTATAATATATATTTAAGCGCTCTTAACAATGCAGCCTCTTATTTGTCGCGTTCCACAATACAACTTGAAGCTCATGAACAAACAGTATGACTTCCCAACACAGGAAACGGTAGCTTCTGGGGAGCTTGTGAAGGCATTGGACTCTGAGATCTGCCCTCTATTCTTTTTATGAAACAACTAACTTGTTTGTGTTCATTTAGAATCCCGTAGTCTATAGGAGACGCAAATAGAGAAATTGGGCTTCAGGGCAATTTTTAAGTAGAATTTGTCAACCAAAAACAATTTTTTTTTAACTGCCTAAATGGGCTGAATTGCATTTTCAAAATATACTTTGACTATATCACATTACTAAAATCACTAAATCTCCCTTTCAGAGAAATTACGATACGACATTTGGCTGCATTCCCATGGTGTTATAATATTCTGTCAAAATTTGATCCCAACTTGAAACATTCACAGAAAACGTTATCAACGTGTTGTTCAAACCCTCATAACAATAACATACAACATGTTCTTTGTAGCGTTCAACATGTTCTTTGTAGCGTTCAACATTACGACTTTAATATCATAAACAAACCAACATCGGAAGACTTCCCAATACGAAAACGGTACCATCTGAAGAAAGAAGAAGACCTATTGTATTCATACCTTACAGGGAAATGGGGAGCTTGTTTATATCTCATATTCCAGAATTTTACAATTGTACTGTACAGGCGTTGATTTGCATATTCGAAAGATCATACCATATCACATAATCTTCATCAACTAATTTACATTTTTTTATATCAGAGATGTTTACATTTCCAATTTTCCCAATTCCTTTTTCAAATCAAGCTTCTGTTAAAATAGACTTCGAGGTAAGGCAGTTTTGTCAGCTACATTGCACAGTAACAATAAACTGTATTTCAGGTCTAACGTAGCAGCTCTGTTTGTGAATGTCATGCTAGATTATTTCTGGACATTGAAGTTTGCCTCTTGCCACAAACATGGAGTTTCTAAGTATAACTTGAACTTTCCCAGTTTTCCTCATCCTCTGCCTTGACATTTTCAAGATTGGAGATGACCACTGTGGTTTGGGACCATTTTCCCTCTTACCTAGTAAACTGTGACGAGAGCCCACGCTAAAGAGCGTCCAATTATGGATGTGTGACGGAGGGTGGGGGGTGTAAGAGCAGCTCCCCTCATTGCTGTTATGGCACTGAGGGCTCGGAGCCAGACCATCCGAATGCTGACGTCACCCCCACTTATGTGCACTGCAACGGGAGGGAGGGGAGGAGGAGGAGGGATGGAGAGAATAAAGTGATTGGTTTACCGGCCCCCTTCTCCATGACACATCATGAAAATAAAAGTGCCCCGAGGCCTAAATTATCACGTTCACCTTAGCCGTGCACTCTCTCATGTTGTTTTAGGAGAGGAACCCAACCCCAAGGCAGTGGGTACACCGCAATGTCTGTCGCTGCTCTCTGGATAAATAAATAAACAAAGGCAGGACAAAGGTCACTGTAGTGTTTGGCAAGGAAACCACGTTTCATCCTTTTTAAAAGATTTTTTTTTTTACATATTGTTCGAGGCCACCCCCCCTTATATTTCTTAAGCAGTTCCAAATGGAAACTTGTGTGTTTTCTAACTAAAGGATATGTTTTTGTTAACTGGTTTATCTGGCAAAATCAGTATTTGAATTATTATGTTTAATATTAAAATGGGAGGTAGGCATATGTGTCTTCTCTGTGAGGACACCAAAAACATTTACATTTTTAACAGTTTTATCAAAACATTCTTATATTTATTGATAATGAAAGTTTGTTTCTTGATATACACTAGTTTGGCTCATGTAGAATCACTCATGGAAGATATAACTCTCACATGTAAATCATTTCCTGAAATAAATAACAGATTAAGTGCCACACCTAGTGGCAGAAGGGGGTAGAGCATTCACAACTTCCTCTCCAATAAGCTATTAGACGGTGAAGCAAATAATGCCATACATGTTTTGTTTTTTTAAATACATGTCTCCATAACTACAATGTGATTATTCTCCAATGAGCTTCTTTGACTAACCTTATGAACACCAATGTCACATTACATCTCTGGTCTGTAATTTACAGACAGCATTTGAATGTCACAGAATAGAGCCCCCCCCCCCAACACAAGGTAAGTTCTAACCGAAGGACAATCTGCCTCCATTGACCACCTCACATGTTGATGAGGTCCCGTGGGTCAGTGTTGTGAGAGGCCCTGGAGAAAAAAAAATGTCTGAAATTATTGAATGATTTATTCATGTCCCACAATTACAGCCTCCCCAACGATTACCATTAATTTCGGAGGAAGGGGGGTGTATTGCTGGGTGCGCAATAAAACAGGCGTGACGAGATGGTTGATTTGCGGGCCCCAATCATTACGCACATTGTGTAGATAATTGCCTTTTTCTTGGTTAAACCTCCAATTATTCAATAGGGCCGAGATAACTAGATTAACTGAGTTATTTTGTATCTAAAATTTAGACACTTTAACTTGTAATGTATGTAGGCCTATAATGTATTAGTAAATAAAAAAATAATCACTTTTTGTTGCGTTTAATATAAGGAAATGGGATCGCCATAATAATATAAATAATGTAATATAAAATACCCTAGATGTTCTTTCTCCGCCGCAGACAAGCTGCAATCCCATTTCCACTTTTTTTTTCTTTTTTTAAAACGATTATTTTTCCCTGTGATGTAGAGCTAGCTACACTAGGACCCAGAGGCGACCTCATATACAGTGCACTGTGGGTGAGTGCGCGCAGGGGGGTGGGGGTAGATGTGGGGGTTTGACTACACTAAATGGCATCTCCAACATCTGAAATAAGAAGAAACACAAAACGAGAAAATATCCACACGTGACAGCGGCACGGCGCTATATGAGCAAAAAGGCAGCAAGCATCAGGACCAGTCTGGAGTTCAGCAGCAACCCCGCCACTCACTCTGCGCTCACTGGCTCTCCTTCCCCGTTTTAAAGAAAGCAAACACATGTGAGTTTCTGCTGCTCTTACTACAGAAACACGGAGCGGAGAACTTGAGTGAGGAAACGCAGGTAACGGGAATCTAAGATTTTTTACAGAGAGGAAAGAAAAGGGGAAAGGAAATCCCCTCCTTTTTTTACCAAGACCACCTTTTTCCCTCTTTCTCGGACTTCTCTTAACAAGTTTCTCACACAAAGTGGGATGCTGCATGTTCCCGAGCCGCACTTGCACTCAGAGGGAACCTAAACAAAAGTGCACCGGAGCGGAATTACACACTGCAAGGTATACACCGACACGTTATTCCACGGAGCGACTATTACGCACGGCTGCGCTTGTTTTATTTTTTTTGGAAGGGGCGTTTGCATCCACATTAACACACAGATGATATTTTCCCCACTATTTACCCCAAAGCACATTGTTTAGGAAGGTTATCCCCCAAAGCATCATTGTTTAGGAAGGTGTTGATTTCATTACAGTGTTATCACAGTTAACCTCCTTTGTCATTCTCCCCGCAGCGCAACAAAGCGGACACTTGTATTGACTGGAGGATCAGCCCGCTTCATAAAATGGTCCCAATCGGCGGCGCGATAACATGTCGCATCCCGTCTGATGATTGATACATTTGAGGATCGACTTAAAGAAAAAACTGGAGGAGGACATTAGAAAGTCATAAAATTCGTCCTGAGCCACATCTGCTGGCATCTTCTATTTTTTTCTTCTGGAGTCCGGACAACAGACCACCGTCCAGATGCAGTTTCGACTCTTCTCATTTGCGCTGATCGTATTGAACTGTATGGAGTACAGCAACTGTCAGGCGCAGTCGCACCGCTGGAAGAGAAACAAAAGAGGTAAGAGGAGAGGGGGGGGGGGCTTTAACAGATGCCTGAGGAGTTTGTGTGGGTCACGGGAGGCAACAGTCCTACTCAAATATTATGTTAGACATCGGCTTCTGCGCAAAAAAGGGAAGCTTTAAGTCAAATATGTATGCCTTTTTCTGTTGTTTCTAAATACGCACAGGTGAGACCTCCCTATCCAATATTGAAACATTCTAGAAATGCACTCTTCAATCAAATTTAAGTTGTAATTGAGTCTCGCAGCATCTAATATTATTTATCAACCTCCTAAAAACAGATTTTCCATAATATGTAACGAGTTAAGAGCCGGTAGCTAATGCGTAAAATGTGCGCAAAATTGGCCACTCGTGTGGCTCTCCAAAAATGAATATAAAGATACGTTGCGTCATTGGATCGGTTAATTGTATTTAAAACCACGATGTCAGAAGGGCTATTAACGCTCACTTCGCGATTCTGTGGCCCCGAACAAAGGACTCCGAATATTATTTACATGTGAAACTGCTCAAAAAGCTGCTGGCGCGGATCGGTCTATAGAGAAAGCTGGCAGCTTACATTAGGAACAGGGGAGGGGTTGGTATTGTTGGAGTTATTTAATGAATAGACACGGAATCCCCTTCATCTGACTTATGAATTGCCCATCTCCACTCCAACCCCCTTAAGCTGCTTTTAATTGATCTCATAACCACTTTGAACAGTTGGTAGGAAACCCGCATAACAATCGCTCAGCGGAGGCGCAGGAGTTGAGGAGGGGATCAGCCCCTTTGTAAATACTAGTCCATACTCTGAATGAACGAGGAGACAGTGGGATTAGTAAAAGTGGCCCCCGTCGAGCCCTCTGAGCAGACCGGTGACATAATTCCGAGGGTGACCGTCAGAGGAGTCCGAATTGCGCACGGGGCACGGACCTTTTGGGCACAGTAAAGCTAAGTATATACAGTACAGTAGAAACATTTAAAGTCAGAGCAGAAGGAGAAAGCGGTTCTTGTAAATTGTAAGGCAATCACAGATGTAATCATATGCGCTGCGTGCCAGGGGGAACCTCCACACTCTGCGAGCCCTCCACTGCCCATCTGCAAATAATCAGACAATCACTGCGGGGTACTGGCACACACACGTTTTTAACTCATCTGTTTGTTTCTTTCTGTGTGATTGTGTTCAACAATGTCGTTTTATTAGATGGTACATATATTTTCTAGGAACCTGCTTTAAATTTCGAGGATATTTTTGATGGTGAAGCAGCAAAACGAGTTTGTGTAGGTGTATCTGTGGGAGAGAGGAAGAGGGGGATGAGATCAAGAGGTCAATTTACACATTTGACCTCCAGAACAGCTTTAGGCTGAGTTCTATAAACTACACATTGTTACACCCCCCAGCCCTCAGAAACGGATGTTTGTCAAACTAATCCCATGCAAATGTGTACAGGTTTGGCCCCCTCACGGTTATGTTGCAAGTGTATGTGTGTTTTGCATGACTTTTTGGGCCAAAAGTGCCATTCTAGCTTGCATTGGCAGCCGTCCAACTTTTCGGTATTTCCTTCCTTTATTTATCACGGTTATATTGAAAGAAGCATGTGTAAGAGATCATCGTCCAATAGGCCCAGCAATGCTTGAATATTTTTCTAGCCCTCAAGGTTCCTGTGACAGCTTTATACACAGCCTGTCTGGCATGCACGCCGGAGCTATCCAAACCGCTCAGGAGTGTTGAGACCCAGACGCGTTGTTAGAAACTCAATTTGGCCCCTGCACACTCCGCTCCCCAAGCGTAGCTGTTTTATGGGTAACAAAACACATCCTGCATTATGTCTTTTTTCATTCTTTAACGCGCATGCCAAAGACACGTTTTTTTGCCATTGATATACTGTGTGTGCAAACCACACAACCAAGTGAGGTGAAAGGGATGGAGAATGCCATGATAATTAAGGGATGTCAAGGAGAAAAATAGTCATTGCGTATGACTGGAGAATGCTGGGATGTATGAGGCGAGATTGGGATCTTTGTGCGGTTTCTGGGCTGATCTTGTCTCACTGCATGGCATGACCCAACCTCCCATTTGGCTAATTGTGCATATACATTTTCTTCATGTCGAACACATGACAGAACACATTACATTTACACCTCTTTACCTCCTATCCGGTCCAACTGGAAGGGAGGAAATGGTGCCAATGAGCCCTTCTATGATATCATAGCGAGACACAAGGGTATTACTTTTCATTTTTATTCTCTGGCTAATGATGCCACCTGCTGACTACATAAAATCAGGGCTCGAGTACCAGCGCTGCCTGGAGGAAGAGCGCAGTGGGGCCCTGAGATGTTTTAAACAGGTAATGAATAGGTAATAGCAGCGGAGAGTGGTGAAAAGTTGCCATGTGATACCGTTAACCCCTTCCGCGTCTACCCAGAAAGCCCCCAAATTTGAATTCCCAGCAGGCAGCAGCATGTTTCGGATCACATTCGACTGTGTAATCTGTCACTTCAACACCGTTCCCAGATGTTTTAGAAGGACAAAAGTGATTAGATGAAACTAATGCAGCCTAGCAGGGTGGAGGCAGTGAGGTCATGACATTTCGCACCTTTGGCAACAAGGGCGTGTGGTTATTTTTTGATGCAAAAATATGCAGAAAATAGTCCTAATTTGTGGCTGAATGTGCTCTTATTTCAACAAAGAATCCAGGAACTTGATACTTTAAGACACTTGTGATTGTGGTTTATGATAAAAATGCACAAAAAAGAAGACATTGGACATCTAAAGTCAGTCTTTGGCTGTATAAATGTTAAAACTAGAGCGTGTTTGGACGCAGATAAATTGCGGCCCCTCTTTCCAAGCCCTGAAAATCTGTCCTCAGTGTGCTGAAAGCTCACATGAAGTCCCAGGTTTGTGGGTGTAAGTGTTAATGTTGGAACCCGCTTCTTTCAGCGCAATATAATACGTTGATTAAGTGCTTAACAGGGAGGCCAGCATTGCCACTCTTGCCTTTGGAAAAAGTGAAAAAAAGGCCCTTCTGATGGCACGTCTTTTAACAAGGCTTTCTCACATGATGCCACTCTAATCCAGGTGATGTGAGCCCTGTTTCTTTTCTTTTTTTAAAAATCCTTTTAAACAGAAAGCGTTTTTTTATTTTACTCATCACTTAAATGGCAATGATGGAAAGCGATCTGAGATTTGACATCATGGAAGAAGTTGTGCCAGTTTGAGGAGAGGTGGGGGTTTTTAGGGGGATGAGGACGGCATATTTAAGCAGATCAGCTGGAAACGGCTGAATGTGAACAGCATCACCTGAGAGGGATTACAGCGAGCAGAGTCTTGACCTGAGCCTGAGCTCCGGCGTCAAGGAACAGAGCTCTTGTCTTTCTCTCCCAGGCTTCCATAAGTGTAAATCTGAGTGTGTGTGTGTGTGTGGTACGTACGTACGTACGTGATGTGTGTATAGTGTGTGTGTGTGTGTGTGTGTGTGTGTGTGTGTGTGTGTGTGTGTGTGTGTGTGTGTGTGTGTGTGTGTGTGTGTGAGAGAAAAAATACACTGAGACACAGGGACACCCAGCAGGTGCATGTTCCCGATGCTCTAATCAAGACATCAAGTCCAGGACATTGACACACACACCCCATCCCACCCCCAACTCATCGACCAATCACGTCCACGGTCTGTCTCGGAGATTATCATGGCCATTAAGGACAATGATTCACTTATGTGCCGTATTGATAAATCACATTAGTCTGACCCAGCCTCCGAACTCTGTCGAAAGACTAGCTCCTTGTTTGACCTACTAACCCATGCATGTCGATCCCGGCCTGTAGCGCAGCTCCTGCTCCGAGTCACAGCGGTATCAGATGAATCCGGTGAAAGGCCCCTCAGTGCGTTCATGCCATGCTACACTGCCGGAAAAAAAACCCCAGCAGAGGAAGAAACATGCAGTGGCATGAACTTTCGGCTCGTGAGAAAGACACAATGAGAAATTCTTTGGGGTGCCACGTGATTGATGATACGTTTGACTTTTTATTCGTTTTCCCTCCGGTCTATCCTGCATCGGAACCATTTGATTGCTTCTAATTAATCGAATTGGCTAAATTATTCCTTTATCACATTTTTTGGAGAAGGTTTATGAGTTTGAATGAGTTGCAGAGCTGGGAATCATATACATGTGATGCGTCATATTTCAGTATTTCACATGGATGAGAAAGCTTGTTTTGTAACATTTCTGCACACTTCCATCACGGTAAAGAAACATTCATTGTGAGCATTTTTTTTGTTGAGGGGAATTCACATGGGGGTCCACCCTCAATCATTGTCATCCCATATGCTGGCAAAGCGTAGCGCCAAACAGATGGTTTTATTTTAGGCTACATTTTACCGCTCCGTAAAACTTCATTTTCTTCGGAAATGTGAAATAAAAAGAACGCATTATATAAAATCATCTAATACACTCCATATTTCCTCATGGTGATTGGAAACTCCTGAGCAGCAGACAAAACGGTAGTGTCCCCGCAGAGCGCAGAGGCGATTTTGTAACCCTCACCTATGCCCACTCCCCCGAAGCAATTACACCTTAATACGTTTCCTTATAAAGCTTCTAAATATGACCAGCCAATTTGGGCCGATACTCTCAAGTTTATTGGGCCGTAAAAAATATAATGTGGGAATCATTTAGAAGTGCCACACATAAAACAAGAAGACAAAAGGAACATTTTTGAAAAAGTTACTCATGCAAAGGCTTCACAGGTAGGAGAGCTGCCCAGAGCAGGAGACGGGGCCCCTCAGGCTTACACTGAAATGCGCTTCCAGACTATTTACCACTTGCATTACTAATACACACCTCCAAATTAATTCAGTGAAGAGCTGTTTAGAGGTAATGACGTGGGTACAATAAACATCCATTGTGTTTTTTCCCCAGTGAATTTGATCTGGGGAATTGTTAAAAATTAACAATTTCTTATTACAAAATGAAGTAACTACATTAAACTTAAAACTTGTTAAATATAATACTTTTCTTTATGTTATG